TGTTTTTCGCGGCGCTCCCGCCCGCAACGATGCCGGTTGCTCCAGCTGTGCTCGGCTTCTTGGAGCCTACACCTCAGTGCCCGTCGCTGCGAAACTGGAGGAAGCAGCTTCGAAGATTAAAAAGCCTGCGTCCCCTTTAAAATCGGCCAGCTTCCTTTTCCTCCCTCCGCCCCTCGGCACCGGCTCGTACCAAAGCGCGAAGGACTTCGCGGCGCTCCCGCCCGCAACGATGCCGGTTGCTCCAGCTGTGCTCGGCTTCTTGGAGCCTACACCTCAGTGCCCGTCGCTGCGAAACTGGAGGAAGCAGCTTCGAAGATTAAAAAGCCTGCGTCCCCTTTAAAATCGGCCAGCTTCCTTTTCCTCCCTCCGCCCCTCGGCACCGGCTCGTACCAAAGCGCGAAGGACGGAGGGAGGGAGTAAAGATCCGCGGGCGCCGAGCCGAGGAGGGGCTGAAACAGAAGGAGCAGAGGCGGAGGAGGGCACAAATGGCTCCACCTTCCTTTTTACGGGGGGTAAAAGTCGCCGGAGACCGAGAAGGCAATCGGGCTCCGCCCTCCCGCGCCCTCGCCTCCCCCGCACGCCCGGGGCATTGGTGCAGCCCGCATTGTCCCTCCCGCCCCGGAGGCTCGGCCGCCCGCGCTCTCTAGAGAGGCTGCGCGGCGGCAGGGGCGGTGTCCTTCTTCTAGGACACCCTAGTGGTGGGAAGATCAGGGGTCAGGCTCCGCCCTGCGTCATCCTCCAGACCTCGGGGGCACCGCCCCGGAGAGAGGCGGAGGGGCGCACAGGCGAGAATACCGCCTCGGTCTCCGGTTCTAGAACCTCTGGTCTCCTAGCAACGGGGCGGCGCCGCCCTGGCTCCCCTCTCTCCCGCCTTCCTCCACAAGGCCACTTCCTGTCCCCCGCCACCCGTCATAGGAACCCCTAGTCCTCTTCTCCCCTCCTTCCCAGGGGCTCGAGACTACTACCCATCTGCGGAGGGTGGGCGGCGGCGAGTAGGCAGCCTCGGCTTGGGATGGGCCGCGGGAGGAGAGGAGGAAGAAGAGGCTTCCTTGGTGAAATAGGGGAGGGAGTTCTTATGAGAACCCGCTTTACCACGAAAAGAAAGGACGGTCCTCCAACATTGGGAGGGGCAGGGTGTTGCTGTAATAACCCACGCTGGCCTCGAACTTGCGAGTCTCTGGCCTCAGCCTCTTGAGTGCTGGTATTACAGGCATGCACCACCAAGCCTGCCTCAAAAGAAAACATTTTTTTCAGAGATTACTACCACCTAAAGGCCTTGATGGAGACAGGTGGGTTCTGAGGGAGGGACTGGCTCCTCAGGCTGACAAGGGCTTTGTTCCCAGGGCATGGCATCCACTCCTATCAAGAAGGAGGAAAACAGCAGGCCGCCTGAGGCCGCGCTGACCTTGATTGGAGGCCGGGTGAGCTGCGGGTGCTTGGGGTGGGAGCGTGCTGAGCTAGCAGTCACAGCACCGACTGACTGGTCTTGATACTGAGTTTGGGGCCCGCAGCAGATCGCTCCTGCAGCTCTGGGACCGGTTCGCCTGTCTCCCTCCCAGAAGGCTTCAGTGTCCCGTTCTGAGGAATCCCTGACTCAGATCAGCACCGAGCTCACAGAAGAGGCCATGTTAATTGCTTGCTGCCATGTGTACCCTGAGCCCCTCAAGCAAAAGCAGACAAAAGACCAAGGGACTCAGATATCCAAACATGGTGATCCTCAACTGGGGACCGCGGTGTTCAGAGACCCCGCCACACTCTTAGTTCCAGTCCCTGATCCCCTCTGACCACGCTGCCCTCTCCAGGAATCTGTCCATGTCACATCTCCGAGCCAGCGGGAGGTGACCCCACTAACCCCTTTCCCACCCCTCCCATGGCCAGGAATCCCCTCGCCCTCTGCCGTAGTCTCTTCCAGTTTAGGGGATAGCCATTTCTCTCACTGGGCCTCTCTTTCCAGCGTTCTTCTCCAAGACCCAAGGCACAGACACCCGGTGAGTGAGTGGGATTTCCGGGAAGACGCCTTTGTCCTGGGAGAGAGAGGGCTTGACAGCAACATCCCGCAGGGTAGGGAGAATTTCGAGCCATGCAGTTTATACTCTTGCCTGGTCCTCACATTGAGTTCTTAGCCTTCTTTCTTCTCCTCTGCCATCTCCAGCTCTGACAGAAACTGGACTCGCACCAAGGCACACCTGCCATCCCCTCTAGAAAAGGTACACACAAGACGGTTCCATGTTAGCCAAACTTTCAGAATTTGCACAACTTGCCAGTGCCTGTTGTAGGAGGCTGGGACACAGAAATAAATGATATGGTCTCAGGCCTTGAAGGATTCTGTTTAGTGTGAGGAAAGACGAGTGAATGGCCAGTTCCGGTGTAATATGGACTAGGGTCCATGATGGACAATGGGAAGACTGCCTGTGCTGGGGCGTAGTGCAGTGGTAGAGGATTTGCTCAGCGTGCATGAGGCCCTGGGTCCCATCCCCAGAACTACAAAGACAATTTATATCCAGACCTCTAGTGGGACAGGAAAGGGAATCACAGAACTTGCTGAAGGAAGTGACATCTGAAGAAGAATTTTCCAGGAAAACAAGGGCGGGTAGAGATATTCCAAGCAGTGGGGATTACAGGTGCAAAGGCCTAGAGATGAATCTTAGAGTGAGCATGAGCCTGAAGAGGTGTGTATGAGTTTGTACCCAGGACAAGCAGGGGGGGTCTGAACCGTTTAGCTGCTCAAGGGTGCGGGCAAAGTAGATGGGGGCCAATCAGGAGAGACCGTGTGTGCCCCGCGCAGATCCACGCCATTCTGTAGGCGAGGTGTCACTGAAGGATCTGGCAGGGGAGGTGGGAATTTATATCTGCCCTGTGGTGGTCAGTGAGGAAGGGAAGAGGCTGGAGGCAGGGAGGTCATTTGGGAGTTGGTCTAAAGAGACTGAGCTAGGGATGATTAGGTCCTAACCTGCCTGTCACGGTGTGGCATCTCATGACCCCATTTTCCTGATTTGTGAAACCAAAGTCTGCTCATGTTTCTGCACAGAACTCCAACAGTAAGTAGCCTCCATCCAGAAGAAAAGCCAGTGTCCTTCTAAGCACCGTGGGATTCCCTCCCCACACTGTCTCAGACCTTGTGGCCTGAACCTGCTCTCCTTGTTTCACTGTCCTGACTTTGGACATACTTGTGTTTGTGGAACTCAAGGGAACTCAGGTGGAAATGCCCTGTGGACAGCTCGATTCTCAGCTAGTGAAAGGATCCAGAGGCCTCATGAGGGAACTGGGGGTGGGGGACAGTATGTGCTTGGCCTGCAGGGTTTAGGTACCGAAGACAAGAGGGTGGTGCCCCAGGGACCCTCCCTGTGGGGGCTGCCAGCAGAGGAGAGAGGCTCAGGAAGAAGGTGGAGAAGGGCCTGACGACCAGCACAGGCTTAAGGAGCATCTCATGACGTTCAGAGTCCTCCAGGCGGTGGGGCTTGGATCTCCGCCTCAAGGATTCATCACCAAGACCTGGGGCAAGATACAGCTGAGAATAAGCCACCACCATTGTCCTCAAGGAGCTGACTTTGTGTGCCTCTGGGACATCTGATCTCTCACCTGGGATGGTGTTAGAAACCGCTTGGAGTATCAGAAAAGCCCCGGCCTTAATAATAGTTCATCTTGTTAAACCGGTAGTTAGCACTGTGCAAGTTCTGTCCTTCTCTCCACCTGCCAGGAAGCCCTGTCAGTAGCCTAACTGTCCTCCCCCAGGTGGCATTTGGTTGAGGATTGTGTCCTGAGCAAACATCTTCCCCTCATCCGGGATCCCAGGAGACTCCCTTCCCACGTAGGAAGACTCTGTTTCATAAATAAAAACATAAATGGTGCTGGGGGTGTAGCTCAGTGGTGAAACACTAGTGTGGCCCTCGGTGGCACACAGAGATGGGAGGGAAGAAAAAAATCCAGATGCCTGTTGATGTTTGAATTACTCTTTCACGTGTGGGGCATTGTAGTTAGTAGAGACTGTCAGGAGGGGCAGTAAGCGTAGGAATGGGTGAATGGATAAATGGGTCGTTCATCAGCTGCGCATTAAGGACCTGCTGTGTGCTGGCACCGCCACAGGGTTGGAGCTAGGGTGAGCAAAGCAGAACCTGGCTTTCAAGAAGGTGAAGTTGAGGCGGGCAAGTGATAGAAGGGAAATGAGCGGGCGGCTGGGATGCTGAGGTTCAGATGCCCGGATGAGTGGAAAGATGGCCAGAGGTGCGTACAGGTGGAGGGATGGAGGAAGAAGGGTGGTGACAGGTATGGGGATGGAGATGGCTGGCCGAGGACGTGTGGGGGAGAACAGAAGGGCGACAACATGTGCACCTTAAGTCCAGAGTCAGCGTGCTCTCGGGCTCTTCCACAGGCCCCTCGCAGCGGCCTCCTGGTGCTGCCCTGGCCTCTCACGCCCCCATCTTGTCCTTGTAGACCATGCCTTCCAACGCCCCGTGTAAGGCAACTTCTTAAGCAGCTCTTTCGTGCTGAGAGGAACTCCTGGTCTTGAGCAGTATCACCTTGAAGCCAACAGATCTTGGAACTGTCACCTGACTCCATTACCAGCCAACAAGGACTCCATCAGGAAGAGCGGGTCAATAAAGAGCAGGGATGCCCCACCCCAGCTGGTACTCTGCTGTGGCTTCTCTGGGACTGCAGTGTGGGAGGACGAAGCTGGGTGTGGGTGCCTGACCGGAAGGGCTTCCACCCAGCAGCTGTATGTCCCGTTAGGAGAGGTGAGCTCATGGATCCAAACCCATCCTGCCCCGGCGGCAGCATCTGGGAGGGCTCACCCTGCCTCCAGGAGTAACCCGTGGCTTCCGCTGTTGGTGCCAAAGACCCTGAGCCACGGTCTCTGGCTCTGAGCTTTGGGCCTCCTTCCTGGGGGAGTGTCTCACACCTGCCACCAGAAGAAGTCAGGGCAGCAGGCCTCAGGGCACTTTCCTTTCAGTGGCACTTGGCCACTGGGCTGTCTGAGGATGGCAGTTTACCTCTCTGAACCTGTTTCCTTATCCAAAAAAATGAGAATAGTGAATTGGCCGTTTCACAGAGCACTTGTGAGGATTAGAAAAATAATGCTGGCAGAGAAAGTGGTGCATACCTATAATCCCAGCTACTTGGGAGGCTGAGGCAGGAGGGTGTCAAATTCAAAGCCAGCCTAAGGGGCCAGGGATTTGGCTCAGTGGTTCTGCTGCCTGCCTTGCAAGCGTAAGGGCCCAAGTCCAATCCCTGGTACCATACACGCACACACCCACACACAAGCCAGCCTGAGCAATTTAGTTAGACCCTGCCTCAAAATAAAAAGGGCTAGAGATGCAGCTCAACACTTCCTGGGTTCAATCCCTAGTAACACAAAACAAAAACTGTTGCATACAAAGTGCTTAACATACTGCCTGGCTTAAAAAGGAATTTAAAATCAAGTGTGGTGGTGCACACCTGTGATCCTAGCACTCTGGAGGCTGAGGCAGGAGGATCACTGCAAGTTGGAGGCCAGCCTGGGTTACATAGTGAGAGCCCATCTCAGAAAACAAACAAAAGGGAACTTAAACTATTATGAGGATCGATAAGCCTCATGTTCTCCTAAAATTCATTCCTTTCTTGCGTATCCAAGTATCCTTTCACTGTCTCACAGGTCCATTTGAACTTTAATATATAATGTATGTTAAGTAAAACTCAGCTAATTTAGAGAAATACTCGAGACAAATAGACTCTATGCTTGGCACATGTGAAGTCCTTAGGTTCGATGTGCAGTGGCAAATTGCTTATCATGTCAAAAGTTTATTGAACATCATAGACGGAAAGGACATCTTGGCCCATACTTGGTAGATGCGTAAATCAGATGCCAAAAAGTTAGATGGGGGTGCGGGGGTGTAGCTCAGTGGTTCCACCACCTGCTTCGCAAGCACAAGGTCCCGAGTTTGATCGCCGGTACAAAAAAAAAAAAAAATTAGAATGGTACATCTGAGTGAAAACAAAATTCTCAAAAGGAGGAAGGCTTTCATGGAATTGCCCATGAAATAAATTCAAAGCTGGCAGCCTGCTGCCAAACAGTGACAGGGAGGAAGCCACTGTCAGCTGTTCCAGCTGCAGGCGCCTGGCAGTCCCGAGACCTGGTGAAGAGTTGTCCCAGCCAGTCCCCCAGAGCCCGCGCCATGAGCCAGGGCTTGTGACACGGCCCGTGCCTGGCTGGTTATGGATTCCCACCTTCCCCACCAGTTCCCCTCCGGAGCCTTCTCTCCAGAAGAGACGCCCATCACTGTCTCCAACACTCTGGACCCGTCTTCCCCACACCCCACCAGCCTGGTTACAAGTGGCGATTTTCCATTTATTGCTCAAAAACAAAAAACTCCAGAAGCAAAGGTGGAGAGGCTGTGGGCTGGGGAGACAGCAGGAAGGGGCAGGACCTTGGCCCAGCTCTCCCCTTTCCCCGCTGCTTTTTCCCCATCGGAGAAGGCCAGGACTTAGGCAACAGGGATGGAGGGATGGACACGGGAGGGGCCTTCACAGCCAAGGGGCAGTGGAGCTGTCAGGGCAGCCTTGAGGGAGGGAGCCCTAGGCCAGGGGCCAAGAGATGCGAGGGAGCCGAGTTCCCCTCCCAGGGTCCAAAACCCAGGAGGGTGGGGCAGGCCCCTTGTCTGGCAACTGAGGAGAGAAGGCTTTGGGCGGCAGGATGCTGGTTTATTTACTGTAGGGTCTCCAGGGCATCACAGCCCCCTCGTGGGATGGGGTAACTATTTACACAGCAGGGAAAAAGGAAGCCAGGAGCCAGAGACAAGGCCCTGTGCTCCCCACTGCCCTGAATGAGGAGGGAAGGGGAGTCCTGGGTCCTGCAGACATGGTCTCTCGCTCAGATGGAAACTTCATACTCCCGTGTGTCCTGAAGGTGGAGAGAGCAGATCAGCAGTTGGTGCGATTTGGAGGTGGAATGGGAGGTGGATCCATAAGTGCAGGGGGACCCCTGGCCTGGAGTCCCAGAATGAGAATGGGGCTGAGTCCAGAACAACGGCCGTTTGGTGCATTCTGGTCTCTTAAAGTGACATAAGAAATCTGCATTTCCGGACTTTCTGGAACAACTGGGAGGCCTGGGAGCGGGCTAAGTGGACATTGGTGGCCCTCACATGGCGGCAAGCTCTCCATCAGCCGCTGTCCTCAGCACACCCCAGGGTCTGCACACGGTTTCGCTGCGTGGCCTCCGTGGGCAGCTGAATCTGACAGTCTTGAGATTACAGAGCCCCTGAGAGAGAGCTGTGGGGTCCTGGGGGAGCGGAGAGTGAGATGCCTGTGCAGGAGGGACTCACCCCAGCTTCGTACAGAGGGTTGCTGAAGTCTGACTCCACGGTGATGGGGCTGTAAGAGTGAGAGCCCGAGAAGCCAAAAAGGGATTTTCCCTGCAGCCTGGAAAAGGACAGACAGGTGGCTTACCGCGGTGCCCCCAGTGCTCTCTGAGCAGGCTCGGGCCCCAGGCAGGACGTGTCCCTCGGGCGGCCCCCAGGAGGGTGCTCACTTGGTGTAGTATATGTAAACGCCACTGCCGAGCACGATGACCAAGCCGAGGGGCAGCAGGATGGCCAAGGCAAGGTTCCCTCCCTCCAGCTGCCGTGACGGGTCTGTCGTCTGTGTCACTGCAGAGGAGAGGCCAATGAGCCAGGGTCGGGCCGGGCCTGGGCTCTCCCAGCCTCCTGCCCTGGGCCCTGAACCCTGGGCCTCATCCCCAGGCTCTGCCTTGCCCCCCGACCTGGCCAGGCCTGGGTCTCCACCTGTACCCTCACTGACCTTCCAGTTTTCGGTTGTCCAGGAGCTCCTCATAGGCCACTGCAGGGAGAGGAGGGGGGGACGGGGTCTGAGCCAGGGAGGGAAGGAGGCAGGGAGAGGGCCGGAGCCCGGTGGGGCTGGGCTGGAAGCCTGGTTCTCTCTGCCCTCTGCTCAACCTACACTATGTTCTCCCCTTGGGGCAGATCAGGGCAGGGCCTTCTTCCTTCTCCAGACCCCTACACTAAGATTCTAAGTTCTTGCACAGCCTGAGCCAACCAGGTCTTCAGAACGTCAGAGACAGGGAAACTGAGGCTATCCAGAGAAGGCAAGGGTTTTCCAAACCAAGGTCCCTCTGCTGCAACCCAATGGATGATTCTGGGGCCTCAGATTTTCCCAGGGCTTCTAGATGTGCCTGTGAAGATGACAGCCCACAGAAGGGCAGTATCACCCACTGGTCCCAAGTTTTCCACACAGCTTTTCCCACTCGCCCAGGCACCTTTGCAGAGTGGGGGCTGGCTAGTCCACTGTGAGGGGTGGCCAGGCACGCAGGTGATGGTGACCTCGCCGATAAGCTCAAAGCCCTCGTAGCAGAAGAAGCGCAAAGACTCCCCAGCCTGGTAGTGATGCTTGTATAGCGTCTGGTAGCCGTTCTCGGGGACCCCAGGGTTCAGGCACGGCTCATACTTCACTGCAGGGAGGGCACCAGTCACGGCAAGCCATGCTTATGCAGCACCCCCCAGGCTGGCCCAGCCCCTTCCGGGGTGTCTGGACTCACAGGCACACTTGGGGACCCGGTCGCTCCACTTGGGTGTGCCCGTGTCTCGGCTGTAGCAGGTGAGCACAGCCGCCCCCTCCAGGCTGTACCCAGGCAGGCAGCGGTACTGCACATGGGAGCCCACGGGAAAGCCAGCGTCCGAGGTGGTGCGGTGCCCATTGGTGATCTCCCCGGGGTCGGCACAGGTCATGACTGGTGGCAGAAGAGCAAGGGCCTTCAGAGATCTCCCAGAAATACAGCGGGGCACCTGAGCCTCAAGGCCTTCTCTCAGAGACACCCCCGCCATCTCCTGCCAGGGCTTGGGAAGGAAGAGGGCATGGGTGGGACAAACTTTAAATTCAGGCTGGTTTATAATTCTCACTTCCTTTGCAAAACAGGGTGAGTAGGACAAACCCTGGCCCCCACCCTGGGGTAAAACAGGAATATTTAATCACCGTACCAGGGAAGGTGGGTGCGGCCCCTGAGTGTATGACCCTGCTGTGGAAGGGCATAGTCATCACCATTTCCTGCACCTGTGCCAGGTGCCCTCTAAAGATTTTGCAAACAAACTATTTAACCGGATTATCCTGAGGTCAGTGTCACTGCCACTTCCTGGAGCCAAAGGCTCAGCACTCAGGTGAGGAACAGTGGAAAGGTGCTCAGGGGCCAGGCTGCAGCATCGGGTACCCACACTGGCAGACTCGGGTCCCTGACTTTCAGGAGATGCGTCCCCTCGGGCACGTTCCCTTCCAAACCGCAGCTGGGCCATGCAGGCCAGTGTTCGAGTCCTTCCAGGGCTGGGGAGCTGCACCTGACGGATGGTTCCTATCTGGTTTCCTAAAACTTCTCCCACTGGCCCTACCACTGCCATGATCCCCAGAGCTATGTACACAAGCCACAACCCCGGGTCCTGTGTCAGTCAGGCTTCCCAAATGTGGAGGCCGTGACAGGTGCCTCCCTCTCCCTCTCCTTCTCTCTCTCTCTCTCTCTCTCTCTTTCTCCTGAGACACACACTTGCAGCTCCTGTAAATGTCACCTCTGAACTTCTTGCACCCTCCCGGGGACCGCTCCTGCTGCACGGAGGCTGCCTGCTGGGGCACCTGCTGCCCACTGGGCAGCACCAGGCCCTGAGTGAAAACCTGCATTCCTCGTCCTCCCTACCCAGGCTCAAGATGTTAAAGACTTGCCCAAAGCCACCCACTCTCACGTCCGGACCCTACTGTTCAGGCGTCTGTCCCCCAGGCTGTGTGCTTGTCAGTGCTGCAGCTGCCGGCCAGCGGCCCTTCAGTGCTGCGCTCGAATGAACGGAGCCCTGTCCTGGCACCGCGACTTCCTAGGACGGGAGGGCTGGGGGGCCGGGGCGGTGCTCACTCTTCTGGCAGGCGGGCGGCGCGGCGCTCCAGGACAGGTCCCACTGGCAGGTGAGGATGTCGGAACCCAGTAGCTCGTAACCCGGCTCGCACTGGT